CCTCCAGAACCAGAACACAGACCAGGAAAATTGAGGAGGAAAGTTATCTTTAAATTGTGAATTAATTATAATATTTGATAAGTTTCCATATCTTTCACATCTGTGAGTAATATTGTTAAACACTCCCATACATTGGTGTTGCCTCATTTTAAATACACATGTATTTTTTAACTACCACAATTAACATTTATTCATGTAATTTTTAACTACCACAATTAACACCTATCCATGTAATTTTTAACTACCTCAATTTACATCTATACATGTAATTTTTAACTACCTCAGTTTACTTTAGTTTTGCTAATTATTTCATTTTATTACCACAGTTTAGATTATCATTTTAGTCATTTGTCTTTATTTCATATAATTATAATATTTTGATGGGTTTCCCTCTATTTTACACTTGCCTGCAATATTGTTAGTATTGGTGCTGCCTTATTCTTAATATACATGTGTTGTTTAACTACTAAAATTTACACCAACAAAATATAAATATTAAGATTAGTTTTGTTAACACTTCATTTTATTATTTCAGTTTAGATTGTCAAATAATTTGTTGTTCTATATTTTCACAAAGGGTTGGAAAATCACATTTTGCAACAAGGAACGAAAAAAAAATTTATAACTGAAATACTAGTTATTATTACTAGTTTAGATTTAAAAGGTTGGCTATCTTAAAATGAGATTTTAGTTCATACATGTTTTTGTTTGATATATAAAGAATCTTTTCAAGATGATTTGTTCTTAAAGTTTAAAGAAAATTAATTTTGTTTCAAAAATAAACTTATCTAGAATATATATATATCAAGTCTTTTGTTTTACCGTGTATAAACACAAGAAATCGAAATCATTTTAACCGGTTTTCATGCTTATGGCAGTAAATGTCTTAATGCAGCATTGGAAGTAAACCAAATAATGGATAAAAAACGAAAGAACACACACACACACTAAATCCCCAATTAGTTAACATTTGAAGAACAAATTTGTTAAAATATCCAACTCAACTTAAATTTCTTTAGTCAGAATGAGTTCATTAAACTGTGAGGACTATTTACACAAAATATGGTATGCTCTTAAACATCCGGTATCGTTTACAGGCCCTGATAACCTGTATTGCTTAGTAAAAATAAATGGAACATTTAAAATAGGAAGACATAAAATAAGGCAATGGTTGCAAGATTCGGATCAGGTTAGTTTATCCAGAAATACAGTGCGTAAGTGTTCTCAACATGCTAAGAGCGGGGCACACTCTTTACACGAGGCATCGGATTTAACGTTCCCATTCTGACCGGACGTGGCTGCAAATTTGTACACACCGCACAGCCAAACGGACGCCCTACTTTAGCAAGGGGTTTATTGCCGGCCGGAGGAAGACCAATGGTGACAATACTTCTATTCCCCAGTCACCCTTGGGGGTAACAATAATACAATTTAAGATTCTGATGTTATATTTATTTGTCCAAATGCTACATTTATGATGGCGAATGCTTTATAAATAAGTGCAAATGCTAAACTTGTAGCTACAAATGCTACATTTAAGATGGCAAATGCACCATTATATACTTTTGTGCCTTTTGATACGTGAGCATACAGATTGATTCATTGTTGGTTGCTTAACGTCCAGTGGCAAATAATCATGCATGTTCAGGACGAGAACACGTTGACAATTAATACAATAGGTAGGTCTTGTAATGATAGAGGCTATCCAGGGTGATGGTCGGGGAAATTTGAACTGCCACTGGAAAAAGAGGGTATATTGGATAGGGAGATAAATTTTGCCTTGCAACAGTCACCTACGGACCCCTCAAAGAGTTGTTGCAAGGGTTGTTAACGTGCAAAGAGCGTGTAAGCATACAACATTTGCTACAAATTAAGGTATAATACCATTTGCAATATTAATTACAGAATTTGCACAAATTACATAGCATTTGCAGTATTTAAAATAGATTAATATAAATTTTATAAATTAACTACTTATTTATTATAGACTTAAATTGATATTTGATACTTATAAAAGATAACTATGAGAACTTTATACAGTGCATCATAAGTCTATGAAGGCTGGCTGACATAAAATATGTTTCATATTTGTATTATTATGTTATTTCAGGTTGCACTTTAATAAAACATGTATATATAGCATTTACAATTGAAGATATATCATTTGCAACAAAATATACTTTTGATCCTTCTGATACGCCATAAGGAAGAACTGTAAAACGGTTTGAAAGAAATGTCCATAAAGTCGAAAATGCCACTGTCAACGTATATTTGTTCCGCCTAAAAGAAGTTCCACTGGAAACTTTGTTATAAACAATGTCATAATATATGTTCCTGTTGGAACAAATATTCTATACCATTTATTCCGTTATGAACATTTACTGTAATATTTATTCCAGTGGAAATAATATTCCAGAATATTGTTTCCATTTGGAACTTACATTATGAAGGAACTTCTATTCCGTGACATGCCACGTCCTACTCTGGTGATGAGAAACTTTCTGCTTCAAGTTCGTTAACATCCGAGAGTCCTGTACACATCACGCTAATGATGGACAACTTTCAATAAATATACCTGACGAAAGAATGTTGGACACTTATGTTTGTATTGTTATATGTGAACCGAATCAAAATATAACTTTCGTATTCGTATAGTCACAGGACAGTAAATCACAATTATTTTTTGTACGTCACACAGGTATTGAAAAATAAATGTGTCGTTTATAGTATGAAGAGGTGCAATTACACGATTTCTGTTTGACAAATTACGTAGTGTCCGAACTGATTGGGCTATTCCAGAAATAATCTATCCCCCCTATGGAAGACATGTTTATATATTTTTTTTAATTCCATGGATTTTTTCTTAAGACACCAGCCCCCAAGGGTGACATGGGAATAGAAGTATGGTCACCATTGGTCTTCCTCCGACCGGCAGTAAAACCCTTGCTAAAGTGGGGCGCCCGTTTGGCTGTGCGGGATGTACAAATTTGCAGCCACGTCCGGTCAGAATGGGGACGTTAAATCTGATGCCTCGTGTAAAGAGAGTGCCACGCTCTTTGCACGTTAAGAACCCTTGCAGCAACTCTTAGAGGGGTCCGTAGGTGACCTGTTGCAAGGCTAAATTTCGGTTCCTATCAAATATACCCTCATTTACCGTGGCAGTCCAAATTTCTCCGACCTTAATCCCGGACGCCTCTATTACAGAACCTACCTATTGTGTTTATTGTTAATTTGTTCTCGTCCTGAATATGCATGAAATATTTGCCACTAGACGTTAAGCAACCAACAATCAATCAATCAATCTGAAGACTCCCAAGAAAAATCCTGGAAACAACTACGGAAATTTCTAAACAAGGGTTTACTTTCTGGATATTATTGAAACTTCTATTCTTACCTATGGAAGACATTATAACCACTCAAGAAATTCCGTGGATTTTTCAAATCATAATTAATTATCTGGAAATTTATTCAATACACGTACATTTGTTTATATTTTAAATTGTATTCGTGTTGTGAGGCAACCTAGGTCCTAGCTAACATGTACTTTTTAATCCTGTATCATACTGTTACCCAGGGACCCCTAATAATTACCATGTAATGAGTGAAAGAGATTAATAGGCTGGTAAATGGCACTATTTCATGCTCTACTATATATGAAAAGGGCAAGAAATTCCGATTAATTATATCATTAGGTTGGAAATTATCACTTACTTGTAATGAATTGATTATATCTTAAGTGACTGAAACTAATCAGATGTCAGTATTTATTTTTGATGTGGTTAAACCACAGTCATAAATGCATCAGATAAACACTCATTCTGGAGTCTTCCCATGTGGTATTCCTACTGATCCTAGCTTATAAGCATTATATTGACATTTGCAATTAATTAACTTAAAAAGTTTGTATTCATGAAACAAGATACAAATAATAAGGAGGAATGTGTAAATTTCATCAAGATGTACATTGTGGAAATTGAAATACCTTAATAATGAAATACATATAAGGGGATAAATTATTCAAAGTATAGAGGAAATTAATCTTATATAAGATATAAAACATTTATTGGAAAGTAAGGTTTGTGTTGCTACCACATATGAGTTTTTGGTGCTAAAATGTTGCTTATCAAGTTTTACAACTGGTTTAATATAAAATAAGTAAAATAGAATATATATAGATTCTTACATTGATACCAGTGGATTATCGGATTTATCCAATCAAGATAGTTAAATTATCAATTTTAAAGTCCGAGCCTCGACGAGGACTTTAAAATTTATAATTTAACTATCTTGATTGGATAAATCTGATAATCCACGAGAAACTATGTAAGAATCTGTTTCTCTAATGATTAAAAAATAAATTTTTATATTTTGTTGAACGAAAATCCCCTTCGACTGCCTTCTACATTCCATGAAGTTGTCAATTTCATTAACACCTGTTGCCATATTTTGATTCATCTAGTGTGCTGATAAAGGTTATGACCCTTAAATTCGTCCAATCATCTTCTGAGATCACCGGCAACCACACGTTGATTAAATTTTTTTATACAATGGGTTCGGAAATGGATAAATTTCCATAGAATTATATTTATCGCTATTTTACGAAAATTTCCTTTGATCTTACTGACTGATAACTTCCTTTCTCAGCGGATTCGAGTGATATGAAAATTATCGCTAGAAACTAAGGGGACATGTGCCGTTGCTAATGAAATTGACATGAAATTGACAACGTCGTCATAGGTAAAATAGCGATAAACAGATTATCATTGGTCATCTCAACTCGATTTCTTTTCTCCAGCTTAATGAATACACAGACATCTACAATGTACCCACCAACTGCAGTTTTTATGAGAACATTGAACCCAGTGGCTCAAAAAATCTGCATCCGAACTATACACAACTGAACAGATGCCACATTTGTCCTTTTTAGCGGCATGGGTGACTGTGTTTTGGTTCACTTCTGCTAATGGCAGAGGCTCCTTAACGGGGCTTGCAGTAATTACAATGCATCTGCTTGCTGTTCTTGTCCTGGCCCAGCTTCAGTCTCCTGTAAATGGTCATCAACTACCACCAGTTCAGGAAAGTTTGTTGATTCAAATGCCTGAAAGTTTAACATAGTAAATGAAGCATGTGTGACTGTCAGTAAGACAGGGTTGAAAACCAAAGCGTTATATAAATAAAAGGGTAATCAAATGACAAAAGACAACTCGGGAACTGATCAGACACACAAAAGCAAACAATAACATTTAATATTGAAATCACCGACCCGAACTCAGTTGCTCCGGAAGAGTGTGCAGGTCCTGTTTCTTGCAAGGCAAAAGCAGTGTTTCTCACGAAGTTCAATATCGCAAAGGTCTATACCATAACGGTAGTCCAGAGTTTTGTTGAAAAGATGATAACTGTGGTGCTATTTGTTTAATTGACTTTCCGTTTGACTATTCCATTTGACCTTTCGTTTGGGAAAAATTATGCCAATGAGTTTGGTGTAGTATGGAACAACAGTCCTGTCTTAATGTTACTCAGGCATTATGGACCTGGTATAAATTGATTTTTTTATTGTGTAATATGGAACAACAGTACTGTCTTATGCATTACAGGTATTAAAAAGCCATTATGGACCTGGTGTAAATTAGTTTTTTTGTGTAGTATGGAACAACAGCCATGTCTTTATGTCTAACAGGCATTATGTTTTCTTGGTGTATTATTTAACCCTTTAAGGCATGTAATGTGATAGGGAGATAAACATCGAGGTTAAAATAAGGGAAGGGTATATCGAGAGTAATAGCAAAAGAAGTTGGGGTTCATAGCTAGTCTCACCATTTGATTTCAATTGCAGAACATGAAATATCTAGGACTTCATTCAGTGTCGACTTCAAGGTCACTGGTGTTGCAGGAACATGACCAATTGTTTGGCTGTCAGAGTTTTTTACCACTAAACTTTTTTTGTCATGAACATTACTTTTATCTTTGAAAACATAACACACAGTTCCAATAGGTTGTTTCTTCTTATAAACGTGATATCCGGTAATTACACTTGAAATCTGAACCTTCGTCATTGAAACCATTTAAAAAGAATTTGTTACCAGAAGTTGCCAAAATTACCGATATCCGGAAGGGAAACATTGCCGAATTTACCGACTTCCGATCGTTAATACTACCGATCTCGAAAAACCCCAATTTTCGCTAATATCGTTAGTAATAACACAACAAAAACGCCATAAAACACTCTTTAATGATCATTGGATAAGTATGTAACAAATTGGCACATACACATAAGGGTTTATGACCAAACTTTACATCATCGGTAAAATTACCGATCTCGTTAAAATTACCGATCTCGTTAAAATTACCGATCGATAAAAGTACCGATCCGTCCTGACCAACGATAATCTATAAATATATATAAACAAGTCTAAATTGAAAACAACGTTCAAACCTATGATTGCGTTGGATAAAAACCGCAATTTTTATACGTGTGCATGTAAAACAAATTTCTTGGTAGAGGGGTCTAAATACAGCACAAACAACATTTTCCAAAAGACCAAAAAAGTGAAAAGTATATTTTAACAAAACGCATTTGACTAACAGGTCGAACAACGGATGTTCTTAAACCCTGCTGATTGCCATTGGCGATTGCCAAATAAATTGATCATCAGATGTAAAATGGATCTTAATATTAAATGTAATACCAAACAGAAAACAATAAACTTGCGGATAAGATGGTATACCAAAAACATGAGGTGCATAAATTTTGTACACCATACCCGGATTTCGACAATAAATGTCTCTTCAGTGATGTTAGGGATCGAAACGGTATTTGAAAGGCCATATAATTTACCTCAATTTAGGATAGACTCTTGAATTTTGAAAGAGTCGAAAAATGATGAACGGATCATATAAACCCGAAGGCAAATATAATACAAACCCAAACGAAAAGATATAAACAAGTCTAAATTGAAAACAACGTTCAAACCTATGATTGCGTTGGATAAAAACCGCAATTTTTATATGTGTGTATGTAAAACAAATTTCGTGGTAGAGGGGTCTAAATACAGCACAAACAACATTTACCAAAAAAGTGAAAAAGTATATTTTAACAAAACGCATTTGACTAACAGGTCGAACAACGGATGTTCTTAAACCCTGCTGACTGCCATTGGCGATTGCCAAATAAATTGATCATCAGATGTAAAATGGATCTTAATATTAATGTAATACCAAACAGAAAACAATAAACTTGCGGATAAGATGGTATACCACAAACATGAGGTGCATAAATTTTGTACACCATATCCGGATTTCGACAATTAATGTCTCTTCAGTGATGTTAGGGATCGAAACGGTATTTGGAAGGCCATATTATTTACCTCAATTTAGGATAGACTCTTGAATTTTGAAAGAGTCGAAAAAGGATGAACGGATCATATAAACCCGAAGGCAAATATAATACAAGCCCAAACGAAAAAATATAAACAAGTCTAAATTGAAAACAACGTTCAAACCTATGATTGCGTTGGATAAAAACCGCAATTGTTATACGTGTGTATGTAAAACAAATTTCTTGGTAGAAAATTATCATATCATTCTTTTAAACATTTATAAGGCCGGGGTCTTTGATGTCTCAGTTGCACACCCCTACCAGAGAAAAAATTCAAGCTCCCCTAGTGCTAGTCTCATCACTCACTGTCCAAAGGTTTCGTTTCAAAAAGCAGATTAATATATTATTTCTAATATAACCCCCAGTACTGTTCAGTGCATAGATGATGGAAGTTTTTAGCGACCCCGACTGGCTATACAGCCCTTGCGAGATCGGTGTGCAAGATGTTTAACCAAACTGCATTTTATATGTACCTGTCCCTAGTTAGAAGCACAGAAATTCAGCTGTGTTTCATATTGGTTTTTTGTTTTATCTTTTATTGCTTTGTATAATCAAAGCGCGAAAGCGCTGTAAAGGCAGTTAATTACAGGTTGTGTGTATTTTAATCCAGTTATATCATTATCTTGCATAGTACAGTGTACTTATCAGAGGTGGCTTCCAGTATTTAAGATTTAGAGTTGTCTAATGATATTGAACAAGTTTCATGAATGTCATATTCTGAGCATTATATGAAGGTGATTGTTCTAACTTGTTTATGAACTAGTGCATTATGTCCAGGCCCCCAAGGGTGACTGGGGAATAGAAGTATGGTCACCATTGGTCTACCTCCGACCGGCAGTAAAACCCTTACTAAAGTGGGGCGACAGTTTGGCTGTGCGGGATGTACAAATTTGCAGCCACGTCCGGTCAGAATGGGGGCGTTAAATCCGATGCCTCGTGTAAAGAGAGTGCTATGCTCTTTGCACGTTAAGAACCCTTGCAACAAGTCTTTGAGGTGTATGTAGGTGACCTGTTGCAAGGCCACATTTCTTTCCCTATCCAATATTCCCTCATTTCCCGTGGCAGTCTTAATTTCGCCGACCTTAACGCCGGACCACGCTATTACAGGACCTACCGATTGTAATTATTGTTAATTTATTCTCGTCCTGAATATGCATGAAATATTTGCCACTGGACGTAAAGCAACCAACAATCAATCAATCATTATGTCCAGTTTGTACCTTGTTTATCTATGTTTATAGTCAAATACTGTTTAAAATAGTTGGGCATTTTCTTTTTAAGATTAAATACCAGTTATTAACTGTATTTTTATTCAACTTTGCAAATGTGGTATGTTACTAGTAAGCGTGGATGATAGTTGTTAAATTGGCAATTATACCACATCTCCTTATTTGTAGAATGATTTATATTCAACGACCTCAGGTACAAAAAATGTATGTAACTAAAAGAGGGACGAAAGATACCAGAGGGACAGTCAAACTCATAGATCGAAAACAAACTGACAACGCCATGGCCAAAAATAATAAAAAGACAGACAAATAATAGTACAGATGACACAACATTGAAAACTAAAGACTAAGCAACACGAACCCCACCAAAAACTGGGGGGGATCTCAAGTGCTCCGGAAGGGTAAGCAGATCCTGATCCACATGTGGCACCCGTCGTGTTACTTGTTATTGAAAATCAGGTAAATAGTCTAATTCGGTAGGTCACATTCGTGAAAAGGGAAGGGTATTGTAGTTACGACATAAGGAACATATCCGATATCATTTGTGAAACGGTTATTCCTTAACGGTCAACCAACTCGTGATGGCGTCCGTAAAATTTACGAAGGGATGATTTCAACTTCACCATTTGGAACTCTTGGTTTAATAGCTTTCTTGTGAGCAGCAATCCTCTATCACTGAAATCATCATAGGAAATACAAGCCCTGGAATATCGTATTAATTGGGAGATATATAATCCGTATGCAGGCGCTGCTGGAATATTGCTACATAGAAATGGAAAGTTCACAATTGGGAAGCTGAAATCATCTCTTTTGTCGTAAAGTTTTGTTTTCAACCGACCCTCATTGTCAATTTCTAAATGTAAGTCAAGATATGAGGCAGACTTAACTCTATCTGTAGTATCCTTTATCTCTAGTTCGATTGGATAGATTCGTTCAACATAGTCACCAAATTTTGTATTATTTAGTGAGAGAACATCATCTATATAGCGGAACGTAAAGTTAAAGGATATTGCTAACGTCTTATCTTTCTTCCTAAGAAGTTCCTATATGAAGTCAGCCTCATAATAATAAGGAAACAAGTCGGCAAGAAGAGGGGCACAATTGGTTCCCATTGGAATTCCGACAGTCTGTTGAAAAACACGTCCTCCAAACGTAACAAATATGTTGTCACTTAAGAAATCAAGCATCTTGATAATGTCAGTTTCAGAGAATTTTTTGTTTGAATCAGAGTGATTCTTTACAAAGTAGGATTTATCCCTCCCAAAGACAAGATACTTGTATCTACGTTCGCCATTCTTTTTAATGAAACAAAGTGATACCAACTCTTTCAATATGTCTTTTAGTTTGGAATGGGGAATACTTGTGTAAAGTGTAGAAAAGTCGAATGTTTTAATACAATTGCAAAATGAGAGAGTCTTAGATTGTATGTACTCTAAAAATCTTTGGAATTTTTTAGTATCCAACTACTAAGTATGATGGGAAACCTTTGACTTCTTTCTTTTATATAAACTTTCGATTTGGTAGCATAGAACTATGTACAATACTCCTGTTGAACATATCGTGCATAGATGACGTTGTCCATCTATCATTTTATATATGTATGATGGTATTTACCTGCTATCCTTGGATTCAACAGCTTTAAGAATATGGTAAACACATGTAAATATTTCATGCATATTCAGGACGAGAACAAATTAACAATAAGTAGGTTCTGTAAGAGGGACGTCCGGGATTAAGGTCGCAGAAATTTAGACTGCCACGGGAAATGAGGGTATATTGGATAGGGACAGAAATTTAGTCTTGCAACAGGTCACCTACGGACCCCTTAAAGAGTTGTTGCAAGGGGTCTTAACGTGCAAAGAGCGTGGCACTCTCCTTACACGAGGCATCGGATTTAACGTCCCCATTCTGACCGGACGTGGCTGCAAATTTGTACATCTCGCACAGCCAAACGGACGCCCCACTTTTGCAAGGGTTTTACTGCCGGTCGGAGGAAGACCAATGGTGACCATACTTCTATTCCCCAGTCACCCTTGGGGGCTGATAAAATGACTACAATCTATTGCGCAGCGATGTTAAGGCAATTTCGATAAGATTTTGTCAGGGGCAGATAACCCCGTAAGGACCTCATTATGTATTCATATATTCATTAATGGCGAAGATTCCGTAAGCTGCGTCTATCGATGAAACTGTATGAAATCAAATTACATACATGCCTGTTAACTAAAAACGGGTATCCATATGATGTAATTTGTTTATCGAAACACGAATATTGTATGTTTGTGCTTTAATTATTATGGCAAACAGTTGCAATAGCTGTTTTTGTTGAAGAGATTGTCGGCTTGTGGACCCCGCCTCCTTTTGCAGATTAACCAATCAGTAGACGATCGCCGTCAAAAAGATGTTTGTAGTTTGCAGAATGGAAAGAACCTTGCAGCGAAAATTATTTTCACTTCTATGTGAAAATCTAACCAGAAAAGTAAGTGTGAGCCTCCAAATATGTATTATTTATGAAACATACGTTGCTTGTTTTGTTAATCATTCGCTTCAGAAATCAATAAACTGTATACTTATAGATAAAAACGAGTTCAGTGTTGGCAAGCATGATATACACGTGGTCATGGTGGTCAAAACGAAACTAGACTGCAACAAATATCTGAAATTTGAATAATTTATCGAATCCCGTCAATAAATGAACAGAATATCGAATGAAACAAGATCCCTCCATTATACCGAGAGCCCATTCTCAAAATTTACCGTGAAATCCGTTTCTAATTTTCGTTTAGCAGGTACCTGCCATTCGGGGAAATGGGGGGGGGGGGGGATTCCACCGTTCTCTTTTCACCGGCACCCACATTGCTGGAGCCATGACCCCTACTTTCAAAGCATGGAGCTCTTAATTTGTAACACAGGGCACACAAACTTACTCAAAAGGAAGCCTTGCAAGACGTCATAACTATTTGGACTACCCCCCCCCCCCCCCTCTTTCTAACTTCTACTCCCACCATTTAATCAGTGTGAAGTCCATACTATATTATTTTCTGCTTAGTGCTGTTGGTATTAAACAACTTTGAATTTAAAAGGGCGGTAAAGGGTTAATTTTATGTTTTCTATTTACCATGTTTACCCAGTGTTTATATTTTATTTCACTTGTTTTCGTGTTTTGACGTTTGACCTATCGATACATGTACATGTATCTCGTGTTTGGTTCGATGTGCGTGCTACATATTTCCCCTTATTTATTTCCATGTTTCCTGTCGTACAATTTATTTCTCATGCTTGTCAAAAAAGTTTTGCAATTCTATTGAATATTTATGGTTCATGTATGTGATAAAGAACTTCAAATTTAAATGTACATGTACTATAAATAATAATTTTTTGTTTGAAATCGGATGCAACTTAAGCTGTTAAGGAAGTTAAAAGGTGACAGCAACATGATTACATCTTTATGTCCATTAAAAATTACTGCAGAAGGCTGAGTATCTGGGTAATTATTTGGAAATATCCTGGACAGTGCTTCTTTCTCTGTAAAAAGCCTGTGCACCTTGAATAAATTATCTTATTATCTGTGAACCAGTATTTTTTAAATCATTACCAAGTCAGAAATATATATATAACCAATTGCAAGTTTATGTACTTAAACTGCTGGCTAAATAGAACAATTTTTAATACATAGTCAAAATAATATTATAATTTCTTGAAAGGCTTTGTTAATGATTAACTGGGACGCCTAATGCTTGCCTCATGTTCCTATGACTGTCATTATTAGGAAGTAATCCCAGCAAAAAATTGAAGAAGCTTTTCATGACATAATAATATTATAGTAATTAATATGTAGTTTGCTCATCAAGACTGCCCACTTTGATATATTTTTTTTATATATATGATGGTCACGCTAAAGTGTGATGATCTACGCTAAAGTGCGATGGAGTCAGACGCTAAAGTGCGATCAGATGACACGCTTAAGTGCGATGGTGTAACAGGATGGGATTCAGGCAATGGTTTTTGTTTTTTGCTGTGTTCATATTAGTTTTTCGTTTATTGTATTGTTTCTAAATCATGTCGTTGTTATTCTCTTTTGAACTGTTTTACACAAGTCATTTCGTGATCCTGTATAGCTGTCTATGTGACGTAAGCCAAGGCTCCACATTGAAGGTCATAACGTTATTAGGTGCATACATCAACAATATTTGGTCTTTGGTGGATATTTGTTCGTTGACAATTACACCACATCTTCTTATCTGTTTTTTTGTTTATTGTTTATTTTGTATATTAATCAGTCCGTTATCTTTCTCGTTTGAATTGTTATACACTGGTCGTTTTGATACTCTTTGGTCGTTATAGAATACTATCTGCTGGGTTAGCCATACGGTAACCTATAGTTAATTACATTAATGACATTTAGCATTGGATAGGGACTTGTCGCATTGGCAATCATATTATGATACTACATCTCTGGTCGTTATGTTACTGTCTTGTTGACGAGTATCCATCTCTTTTACAGACATGACGAACCATATTTTAAAAAATTGTTTTACAAAATTATTCAATTAGAAAGTTTAAAAGTAGCTTTTATTTCACGCAAGTAAAAAATTGAAAACAAAACGTTTAATAATTTCAAGCATCTGAAGCGCTTTTCTGGATTTACCTTCATCAGGAATGCTCAAAGCCAAACATTTGAAATCCGAGATGTATAAGTACCAATACAGTTGAAGAGCTATATGCTTTTCCAGTAAATGACATGGGACGAATTAAATACTTTGACACTTGGTGTATTTTGCCATTTTCGCTCTCTTCTATGGTATAGACCTTCCCCTTACTAACGTCAGTTTCAGTCTATGTTTATGAAAAGTATTTTTTTTTCCAGTATACTGACAGAATCATGTTTGTCCCCGCCGACACATCGGACTTTAGCGTGTTCTATTAAATAGCACAGACTATCGTACTTTAGCGTATCAAACCATCTCACTTTAGCGTGACCATCGCATTTTAGCGTCCCCATCTCACTTTAGAGTCCTACATATATATATAAGTAATACAGTATTTAAATTGAATAGAACACTGCATGCATCATCTTTCTAAAAATAGAGTATTACATAAAATATCTGAACTGTATCCCTGTTGGCAGGAATTAAATCCATTACTCGAAGATATATCACCGGTAAACAGAAGGGACCCATTTATAAAATTTTCTTTGGGAGACCACTAGTCAGAGAGGCAGAAAAAAGCCCCATTTGTAATCAAGTGGTTTATTCTGTGACAACAGACCAGTTTGTGGAATCACTAAAGTACGCAAATCACATAATCAATTTATAAAAGGAAAAGGCCACAGCTCTGTAGGAACCCATAGATTAAGGGGGGTCTCATATTCTTATTGCTGTGAAAGTAAGTCTACCACCAACTGCTGAGAAAAAAAAATTACGACATGTACAAGTGTTATGGACCAACTAGCATAACGGATAAAATGAACCAGACACCATGAACACAAATTAAACAAAAATTGATAATCATAAATTAAATAACAACTATCACACATATTTGAAAGAAATATATTTTTATTTGGAGCAATGCCTTGCTGATGAATCATTCAGATGATAACTCAAAACAGCTTTCACCAATCTTCATGAAACTTTGGTGAATTGTTTAAATTTATTGACATAAGTTTCCTTTCCATTTCTATTAGATATTTTTGATACCTGGTTTTGGAGTATAGGGACTTTATTCATAATAACGGGTCGAAATTATCGCGTTTTTTGGACAATGTCTCAAAAACTCTTAAACACATTTTCATGAAACTTGCTGAAATGTAACGTAAGCTCCCTTAAGATTTTTAATATATTTTAAATTTTACTTATTCCAGTTATGGGATTTTATTCATAAGAATTATTCATGAATTGTGCCACATTTTTATACCCCCACTTCTAGTCTTTAAAAAAGTGGGGATGGGTATACTGTTTTACTTCTGTCTGTACATCCTCAAACCAGTCAGTCCTTCCGTCCCATGAATATTTTTCGTTGCATCTTTCTCAGGAACGTATTTTACTTATTCCAGTTATGTGATTTTATTCATAAGAATTATTCGTGAAATGTGCCACTGTGCGCAAGTTTGTTATTTTTTAATTTTTATATCCCACTTTTAGTCTTTAAAAAAGTGGGGGTGGGTATACTGTTTTACTTCTGTCTGTACATCCTCAAGTCAGTCAGTCCGTCCGTCCCATGAATATTTTTCTTTGCATCTTTCTCGGGAACATTACAAGGATTTCTGAAATTTGGTTTCAGGGTTTATATGTGTCAGCTATACCGTGTGATGCTTTTTCAGATTCATCACTCAGCAACCTTTGTTTACCTTTTACTTTAAGGGTATGGGGGTATATTAGTAGCTCACAGATTCACTTGTTTGTTTTAGATTTTTTTGGGGGGAAGGGGGGGGGGGGGGGCTGGCTTTTTTTTAGCACAGCTCTTTATTTAGCATAGGATGCAGCAATTCTAGAAATCCAAGAAAAAATAGGCATTTATATATCTATGGAGGAAATCCTGATATCAAATTAGGGTTGTGTGGCAGACCTAATTTCTTTATTTTAAAAATTATATGAATCATTATACATATATGTTTATGCTCCTTATTTTAAAAAAAGTACCTATATGTAATTAAATAATTACTTTCTCTTATTTTTTTTAGCTCCCCTGTCAATTACAAGATACAGTATGCCATTCCAGCTTTGATGAAATAAAGTAATGGTTTGATTTGGAGAGCTTTATTATTATAGACAGGTAAATTGTTTTATCCTGATATCAGCTAACTATTGTACAATGAGACAACTCTCCCCAAGAGTCCAAATGACACAGACATTAACAACTATGAGGGGCCTGATGGGGGGGGGGGGGGGGGGGGGGGTCTCATCACGATTTGACTTTTTTGTCAATCACGATTCACAGAAAATAAATTTCCATGATCACGGATCACGAAAATATAAAAAAAAAAATCTGTAGAAAAACAAATCACGATAGCGAAAATGCGCTGATCACGAAGAATGAAAATAACTTATCAGGCCCCTCAACTATGGGTCTTTGAATGGCCTTCTACAATGAGTAAAGCCCATTCTGCATATTTGGCTATAAAAGGCCCCAAAATCACAAATGTAAAACATTTCAAAGGAGAAAATTAATGGTCTAATTTATGTAAACAAAAATGAATGAAAAAGAAATATGTAACACAGCAACAAACAACAACCATTGAATTCCAGGAACATACATTGTACATACAGAATGTGGATGGGTTAAACATGTTAGCGAGCCTGGCTTTTCTTCCTGTTTTATAATTTGTGCAAATAAATTTCTGTTCTTACATCATGTACATTGTAAGAATATTGTATGATGTAAACTCAGAAATAATTGCAATGTTTTTATGAGGCAACTTTGAATATCGCAATAAAAGGAACTCACATTCTGAAATCTATACATTATAACTGTACAAGTATGCAGATTTTTCTGAAATCGCAATTATAAATCTCACATTTTTGTCCATTCTTCAAAAATTGCAAAAATAAATGAACCCAATAATAATGATAATTTCTTAATTTAATCAATGTTAATGAAGTATCTGTACCAGCAATAAAATTTATTTACACAGACATGACAGATATAAATACCATAATATACTGAACTTGCTAGCAAAATTTTTTTAGCTGTGGATTACTGATATTGATATTGAAGTATTCCTGTCGGAAAAGGAGATACAAAACAAAGTAAATTAACATTATACATAAATTTAAATATTTATTACATAATACATCTTATAGGCACATCTGGGTTTTTGTCTCGCCTTGATGGAGTCAAAAAGCGAGACATAGGTATGCTGTTTCCGGCGACGGCGGAGTCAACAATGTATTAGTTTGTGATTAGGTCTAGTTCATGGTGAAACACAAGTGGTAGGTCAATGATATTTGGTATGCAGTTGTATTAGCATTGGCACATCTCATTGCCATGGAGATTATTTGGCCCCGCCCCCTCAGTCAAGGTCTATTGACTTTGAAACTTTTCATAGTTTACATATATTAGTTTGTGATTAGGTCAATTTATGGGGAACCACTAGTGGTAGGTCAATGATATTTGGTATGCGGTTGTATAAGCATTGGCATATCTCATTTCCATGGAGATTATTTGGCTCCGCCCCCTTAGTCATGGTATAGACTTTGGAAATTTTGCTAAGTTAACATGTATTAGTTTGTGATTAGGTCAGTTCAAGGGGAACCATTAGTGGTAGGCCAATGTTAATTGGTGTTCAGTTGTATAAGCATTAGCACATCTCATTTCCATTTGGCCCCGCCCCCTCAGTCATGGTCTATTTTCTTTGAAACTTTTGCTAAGTTTACATGTATTAGTTTGTGATTAGATTAGTTTAAGATGAACTGCTAATGTTAAGTCAATGATATTTGATATGCAAATTTATTGGCATTTGCAAGTATCGTTTCCATGGAATAAGAATAAGAATAAGAATTTCCATGGAGATTATATAGCCCCACCCCTGATCATGGTTCATTGACTTTGAAACTTTTACATAGTTTACAAGTTAATGTTTGTGTTTAGGTTTGTTTAAAGGGAACGACTTATAATAAGTCAATGGTATTTGGTATGCAGTTGTATTAGCATTGGCACATCTCATTCCATGGAGATTTTTTAGCCATGTACCTTCAGTCATGGTTCATCGACTTTGAATATTTGCATAACTTACATGTTAAAGTATTGCTATTTTAATTTCAACATTTGCATTATCAAAATTACAAAAAGGCGAGACATATCTCTGTGATAACAGTTTATTTTTCATTTAACTTTAAAGTTTTATAAAAGTACATGTAGTGCACCTGATTAAAATGTGTGTGGAAAATTAAATCCTTGTTCAAATGATGAATGAAGACATTATTAAATAAGGACAGGGAAATTATTTTGTTAGCATTTGAACTGTAACTTCTTGAAGAAATATGTTTGCACTAACTTTTGATTACTTTTCACATGTTGAAAATTTCATTTAATATGTATTATATTTGCATTTTCATATTTCAGGGATGATGACCTGCAGTAGAAAGTTCCTTATAACTCATCATGGCCATTACGGAAGATCTCATTAAAATTTGTTTAGAAAGCCACCAAATATGTCCATGAAAAGTAGAAAAAAGACAGCAATTCTATATAATGTACATATATGTACTAAGCATAAGCATTGACTGTTTCAAGACCAAATGAATTGGAATTAAGTGTTTTGATGCTGAGAGACAGAGGAAAGTTAACTAGACAATTTAGCTTCTTTTTCATCATCATGTATCACTGAAGTTGATGTTTACCATCTTAAAGAGCTTTTACCTCAGTTAAAATGAATTCTAAACACGGACAGTTTGGAGATTTGTGAATTTTCCTACAATTGGTGTTTCAAAAAAGGATTTCATTTAGCAAAATTATATTTCATGGATGTAATTTGTAGTTTCTTTCATGAAATATTTGAAAAATCTGCAATACATTTGTATCTGACCAAGTGAGAGATCTACAAACAGACATATGATATTCAGTTGAACTGTAAAGAAAGAGTTATTCATTTATAAGACTTATATGAGTGTTTTGTTATTTTTATGGCAATTACGGGGAAAAGTTAGTAATTGATTTAAACATTAATCCTACCTAGATATACATGAGATATACTATCATATACATGTAGGCATACAATTCACTGATGCACTTAACTAATGGAGTTACATGTAATTATAAAACTAAGAATATGACATATGATTGCCAATAAATTAACAACTCTTCATCAGAGAACAAATAGTCATATTATATATTGTCCACCAGCATGACCAGAGAACAAGAAGATCATATTATATCATGATTTATATTTCAATTTCATTTCATTTCATAACAGTTAACACAGAATAAAGGTATACAAAAAGTTCAGAAGCATAAAAAAGTGTTTTAATTGCAGTTGTTGTTCATTTTAAATTGACTTAGTCATATTGATGTTGGCCTTCAATACTGAGCAAGACCTCTGTAAAAGCCACAGAATGAACAAAAAAATTATCTATACTTATATATTTGTCTATACTTAGAAATCAGAATTTTTTTTCATTTCTTGTCTAAATTAAAATTGGTTATACAATTCTATATGTTTGGCAAAAAAGAAATATAAATTTATTTAAATGATGGTATTATGTGTATCCAGGATTTTCTGAAACTGCAATAATTAATCTCGCATTTTTAATTGTCCTTACACTGTTCAATAATTAAAATTATCTTGGGAATAAATTTACTCAAAAAATTCTGAGTCTTTTTGAAGGATATATAAATTTGGAAACTTATGACGGAATATTTTCACAGTTACTGTTTTAGAGATTCTTATATCTAGCATGTTTAGCAAAAGATGTTGGGTATACATGTTTGGCAATGAGACAGCATCCCCAAAACAGACAGAAATTGCTTTGTTCTCAGTTTGAAATTGCACACATATTTTTGTATTACAGCTAGAATTTGATATAAAAAAAGATGATCTGGTATAATTGCCAATGAAGTTTTGATTTACAATTAAGTCATTTTTTTACTCGTGTGATTGGTTCAGGTAAAGATTAACCACTGATTGTACCCTTGTCAATGATATTTGTAGGCAGTAGTTTTATAAGCATTAACACATCATTTTAATTTCCATGCTGACTAGTTTGTCCTGTCCGCTATGTCATGATTCATTCACCTGACACTGCCTGAAACTTTTGGATTGTGTATATATGTATTAATTGTGATTGAGTTAGTCATTTCTGTGTATTTATATTATATATGGTACATAGAATTTCTTTTATTCTGACAGAAAAGAAATACCATTCAGTTGCCTCCAATCTCAGCAGGTGATGGGAAATAAGTTTTCTGATTTTGACATGTTTGAGATAAACCTTAAAATATTATGGCACTTGATAATGAAAAAACGATTGATTGTGCTGAATGTCATGTAAGCACTTTTGGCTATTTCTTGGCTGTCCATTTGTATTGTTGAACACTGGTAGGCAGGGATTTAATATGAAATGAGCAGCAGAAAAAAATAGGTCACTATTTCCAACTTCATGGTATAAATGTAAACTATTAGGTTGAGAAATTGAGATGATATATATGACAAGGTTGTTGATTGAATCATAGGTACATGTACATGTATCTGAAACTAATTGGATGTGGGTTTTTTTCACAGATGCGATTAAAATTAGTCGTGTATATATATGCATCCGATATTTGTCGAACTGGTTATCGCTTTATGATATAGTGTAAGCATAAATAATGAGAGCTCAAGGTACATTTTTTTTTAAGTATGGGGTACTCAATGCCGTAGCTATTTTTATAAAAAAAAGCAAGCCATACAAAATACTGGCCTGGTAACTGGTGAAAATTCATATTCATAGGCAAAAAATTACCCTACCCCACCAGAATAAAATTCAAAAAGACCATCCAATCATGATTCACAAATTGATATGTGTCACACTTGAGATACAGGAGATATAATCAACTAGTAAAATGTGAATATTTATATGCAGGTAGGAGTTTATATTTATGATTTAAACATTGTCAATGACAAAGAGCAAACAAAAATCATGAATTTTGGTATAAAGTTCTGTATGAAAATGCTACTTTTTTCATTAAAATTTTAATGGTTCCCAATATACAAGCACTAGAAGAGACTTTATAGTATACTATTAATTATATAATGAACTTGCATTTGCAAAAATGAGAAGTTCAGAACTGCTCCATGACCCAGATGCGGATTCCGGATTTTGACAAAAAAAGGGGGGGCTGCGTGTCCCAACACTAATCGAAGTTATGGACATATAAGAAGTGTATACATTAACCATAAATTGGTTGATGCACAAGGGATCAGAGCCTACATGAATCCGCCTCTTGCGGTGATATACACAAGAGGTGGAATGCAAGAAGATGTAAATATTCTATTTTATGAAAGTCCAGCCTGTCACAATGAAAATTCCCTGAAAAAAACCCAATACTGAATAGGAAGCTTCAATAAATTAAGCAAGCAATAGGAGAATATTTGTTTTTTCGCTCAAACATGACGTTATTATATGAAACGCTTCACGGTGAGTACAAAAAATACACTGAGTTTTTCCGTCAGCCGATCCGACTACTGCTGGGTCATTCAAACGTTTTTCTCTCACATTTCAAGGCGATAATGCTACTTCATGCTAAATTAATTGAAAAGGGCAGGTGCAAGAGCTATACCAACCCACTTGATTCTGGTATTGGTAGAAAGGCCACATTTCAAATTTTTCAAAAAGTGCTGTGCCTAGTTATATAGCGTTCGTGTAAAAGAAATTTCACAACCCGAAGTGCCAAAAAGTCAATAAATCGAAAAAATTCTCCACGTTTTATTGTTTTTTATTTACAACACCTCTATTAAAAACTAGGCACAGCACTTTTCCAGTAAAATAAGTTATCCTGATTACAGGGAGCCAAAAACCAGGGCGATCGGATTTCATCTTGCACCTGCCCTTTTGACTTTTTTAGGAAATGTCCTTACTTTCAGTTTGAAGTCACGTGACGCTAGTGTATTTATATTTTTCTATAAATAAAAGTTTGGAATGTGATTCAGAATAGACCCTTTTCCCTCTGTTTACGCTTTTGACGTGCATTTGAACCTTTAAGCAAAGAAAACTAACTTTGAGTTCAATATGATTTTTCCTGTGTATAAAAATGGGATATTTCTTGAAACGCCCTTAACGTCCCTGCTTGTTTGTAATGTTCATTAAGGATCCATCACATAACTTTAGTTCCAACACCCATTCATGTCATTTCATGCCAATTGATAATGATTAATTAATCTGCCTTGACCATTTACGTTTAACTTCTTCCAAGGATGCTTCATAATTTTTCTCTGACTTACTATAAATTGATTTCTAGATGAGTTCTAAGGCTGCATGTCTCTGAGCTGTAATTATCCCCATTTTCTTCGGTAGTGATTTCTCTATTAAATCCCAGAGAGTAGATCTTAACTCATTCTTCAGCATTCTTCTGAAATATGGCCCTGCTGACAGCATGCGATTAATCAAATCTGAGATGCATTGAAAAATCTGCATTACACAGTCTGTGACAAGTACTTCACGCTCAGATGAACATATATATATATGTATATATATATGATGGTCCATGTCTTTTACACCAAAAGTTTGCAATAAATCTAACCAACTTTTTGGTGTTTTTACTTGCTGCCAACGTTTGCTTCATTAGATTATCAACACACTGAAAACGTTTTCTCACAACAGGACGATTTTGTTCTTTAGCTTGTGCATCTTGAACTCTCAATTGACGTATAACATAAACATTGGATTTTGAAAAAGAATTTCTTTCCACTGAAGTTTTTTTACCAATGCTTTCTTCATGCGATTACAGCTGCCTTGAAGGATGGGTTCCTAGAATAATCCCTTTGTGAACAAAGGCCATTGTTGTAGATTGTGATACATCAAATAACTTGCAAATTTTGCACATGAAGCCATTTTCTTTGACCACTTTTGAAACAGAACTTTTACTGACAATAGCTGTTGCAGTCTCCGAGAGAGAGCTATAGGTGCAGAAACTTTCTTAATTGTAAACATTACTGTCATTAGTTTCATTACAAACTCCTTTTATTAGGTATTCTATAGCTTGTTTACTTCCGATTCAATTTAAGAATCATTGATTCGAATAACCTTTTTGGAAACACATCTCCGATTTTTTGTTGACCTTAATGTAACGTTAATTCGGTGACTTTGTTAATTGTAGATTCACCATACTTTACTAAAAAAAAATCGACCACATATTTAAAATAGTATAGCCTTGTTTGTTTCATGTAGGGTAAAGATCTAAAGTACATGCATTTATATATAAGTTTGGCAAGGATTTAATTAATTGTCTCTTTTATAAGGTATCCAACGTCTTAGATGTATGTTGTCTTAAATTTGTGTTGATGGATTGATAATGGAATACCCATATTTTTTGACATAAGATGGATTACCTCCTTCATCAACAAGAGTAAGTGCCACACACTTAAATTTATCATTTTTGAGAATATTGAAAATGAAATCAAATAAATTCAAACTTGGTGGGTGATGTCTTGAAATTAGTATTAAGAATGTACTTACGTGAATGTAAATGAATCAAGAATTTAAAATTGATACTTTAAGTCGGAAGTGTTTTGATTACGGAAAAAATATCAAGAAAAGGCTGACTCCGACTTTTATATTAAATTTGCATTGGTATAATTACTTGAGGAAAAGAAATCTAGAAACTACTAACATTTTGGTAAATGATGTTTTATAAATTCTTATATAAAAAGAAAAATGGATGTTCTGGGACAAAATATTTCCCCTGTATCATCACAATAGATAAAACCAAGAAGTCCAAACAATCAGACAAAAATTCCAAAATCATAGATATAACTTAAACAAGTGATTTCGGGATTACCTATTCTAGTTGCAACACCATTTCAATTCACAAAAAGGTGTCACCTATCACCAATACGATTAGTTTGAGATATAACGATTTGATCATACACAATATTAACAATAACATTTTTGGATATCTTAAAGCGTTTTTCCTTTTCCAACAAAAAAAAAAAAGAAATTACTATACAAAACATATAATTAATGGATGTGAGCAAAAGTATTTTAGGAGTGTAAGCTTTTTATCAACTTACCCTGGCAGTAACTTGTCTGTAACCGCTATTTTTATGTAGATATTCGTCGGCCTGACAAAGACGTCTGGTTATCGTTTCTTGAGCTTTCGAATGACAGAACCCCCAAGGGTGACTGGGGAATAGAAGTATGGTCACCATTGGTCTTCCTCCGACCGGCAGTATAACCATTGCTAAAGTGGGGCGTCCGTTTGGCTGTGCGGGACGTACGATTGCAGAATGGGGACGTTAAATCCGATGCCTCGTGTAAAGAGAGTGCCACGCTCTTTGC